ATAACACTGAGTTTATGTTGGGCTGGCACACCTCTATCAGCTATCACTTCTCTCCCCTCCTCTGCCTAGCAATTACCTATACTGTCATGTCTGCCAGCCTGCCTGCCTGGCTCCCACAGACAGTCCCTTTGAACTGAGCTGTGCCATAAAAGCCATTCAAGCATAGAGAAAGATGCATAATTATAGGCAATAAATATATTTAGTGTGATAACTGCATAGAGAAAACTGCTGCCGAGAGCGAGGAATTTGCATGACTTGCCAGCTTGATGATGATAAACATTGCATAGGGAGACAGGCTTTGGATCTTAATGACATTGGAGGCACTTTGACTTTCAGTTAGGGACGCCTTTCTTGCAACAATCTTTTCATCTGTTTTTTTTCTAGGCCCTTTTGCAGGCATATGATGAGTGGGGAAATTTTATATCAGCATCAAGTTGGAAACAATAAATGCTGCAGGCAACATCAAAGGCGAACCAGGAGCTTGTCTGTAGTTTGACAGGCTAAGATGAAAGACATGACAAGCACTTATCTGTATGCAAGTCAGGTTTTTCCATAAGCATCAATCGTAAAAACCTTGCCAGCTTTATTTGACAATTTAATCCTTGTTTTGCGGGCAGACCTGCCTCTTTGTAGTAGCAAACATCTCACATTTGTTCCTACAACAGCTAATGGTCTTGTGTTGGTCTTGTGTTGTCTATTCACACTTTCCACTCACTGCATGTGTAGATTGTGGTGTCCAGTCAAAATATCCACACTCTTCATATACAGGTGGGCCATATGTTGCCCTTTCACTATGTCTACTCCATGCATGTATAGGTGGGTCGTGCGATGACCTTTCACCATGTCTACTCCATGCATGTATAGGTGGGTCGTGCAATGACCTTTCACCATGTCTACTCCATGCATGTATAGGTGGGTCATGCAATGACCTTTTACCATGTCTACTCCATGCATGTATAGGTGGGTCATGCGATGACCTTTTACCATGTCTACTCCATGCATATATAGGTGGGTCATGCGATGACATTTTACCATTTCTACTCCATGCATGTATAGGTGGGTCGTGCGATGACCTTTTACCATGTCTACTCCATGCATGTATAGGTGGGTCGTGCGATGACCTTTTACCATGTCTACTCCATGCATGTATAGGTGGGTCGTGCGATGACCTTTTACCATTTCTACTCCATGCATGTATAGGTGGGTCATGCGATGACCTTTTACCATTTCTACTACATGCATATATAGGTGGATCGTGCGATGACCTTTCACCATGTCTACTCCATGCATGTATAGGTGGGTCGTGCGATGACCTTTCACCATGTCTACTCCATGCATGTATAGGTGGGCCATATGTTGCCCTTTCACCATGTCTACTCCATGCATGTATAGGTGGGTCGTGCGATGACCTTTTACCTTGTCTACTCCATGCATGTATAGGTGGATCATGCAATGACCTTTTACCATGTCTACTACATGCATATATAGGTGGGTCTTGCGATGACCTTTCACCATGTCTACTCCATGCATATATAGGTGGGTCGTGCGATGACCTTTCACTATGTCTACCCCATGCATGTATAGGTGGGTCATGCGATGACCTTTCACCATGTCTACTCCATGCATGTATAGGTGGGTCGTGCGATGACCTTTCACCATGTCTAGTCCATGCATATATAGGTGGGTCGTGCAATGACCTTTCACCATGTCTACTCCATGCATATATAGGTGGGTCGTGCGATGACCTTTCACCATGTCTACTCCATGCATGTATAGGTGGGTCGTGCGATGACCTTTTACCATGTCTACTCCATGCATGGAGTCCTTTCACCCAATCCATGATCGGCATGTATAGGTGGTATTCTTGCTTGCTTGATATTTCATTAGACTGAAAGTCATGCTGATCAGTATTTCTTGTTACAATGGTTGTTTCAAATTATTTGCAAAGAACAGAAGTGGTTAGTTTGGCATAAAATTAATGAGCTGTGATGTGTTTGGAACATGGTTAGTAGATATACACATGCCCAAACCTGCGGCCCCTTAGTAAAATAGTTATCTTGTTGTACAACTGTGACCTACACATACTTCTTATTATACAGAGTTTGAAACCAGACTTTGCCATGTGTGGTTCAGACAGCAGTCCAGACAGTCAGACAATCAACAGTTTTGATTCTAGCACTCACTAAACTCTTAAAAGCAAACAATGAATTGCAGTTTAATTAATTTCCAATAGTACGTGATAATCAAATTGAGTCGACACTATCAGCAGATCAGTAATGGAACCAGTCAAGATATCTTTGCCTGAAATGACCAGCCTGAAAGATGTTAAAGAAGGTGTATTCTTAAAGTAAAATCTGGACCATCTGGTGTTAACCGGAAGGTTCTATCTATGATAATATGTTCTGAGTTTAGTCTGATGGACATACTGATACACTTTCACATTCGTCAACATTTGGAAATTAGGGTAACAACAAGTATTCAAGAACAAGATACACGTGTGTTAAATGCAATAAATGTCTGTATAATGGGTTAGCTCCATTTTAGACAGACTTTGTGCTTGTAACAATAATTAGAGAGATTATACCTCCTATCTCCTCATGGAGATGGGGTTTTTTTCACATTGGATTTGGTGGCATTAACTTCAAGGTTACACTGTGTGTGCAGGGCATTACAAAGCTTGTACATAGTATATCTTGAATATTTAGGATTGCTGTTGACTGTCAAACTTGCTTTGTTATCTAAGGTGGGTCTAAACCACATCAAGTTATGGATATTAAACATTGCTCAACCTGTTAGGACATTTCATGGCAAATAATATCAACTATTTTTGTCACCAGTGACAATTAATTTAATTAAAATCTTATTGTCTTAATCCGAGGCAAGGATATTTAGCTTGGTTTGAGGTATGGTTGCATCAGTTAGCATGTATTTCCCCAATCGGAAGGTAACAGTAGGTAACTGGAAATGTATGCTGTTACGTTTTCTGGCACCTTTGGTGAATGGCCGTGAAGAGGCTGCTTCTGTTTCTGCAATGAACTGCCAACATATCCATCACTGTTCTGTTTGCAGCAGTTGTGTATCTGTTCCTTTAGGAATCTATAGAGTTGGGTTGTCAGAATTTCAGAATGCTTTGAAAAGAGAGCATGATACATCTGTTCCCAGCTACTTGTTCATTTTGATATAGGTTGTGCAACATATAGAATATGTATCTACCATCAATCTGCATTGTTAGCTGGAATATTTTTAAGCTGCACTATTTCAATATATATTGAGTATCTTGACACTTTTACCCACAAGGAGAAATATTTTACCTATAGACCCATATGTCATATAGTATCATAAGTCAATGTCGTGTAGGTGATATGGGGTAGATTTAAAGAATATGTAAGTACTTTGATTTCGAAAGTGTTTGCTACATGAATAAGTCCATCAGGTATCTTTTTTCAGTAAGATGTGATTTTATTATGTAGTTTGCATGTGATGTAATGCATTCATGTTATTATTTGAGAGTAGTTATATGAAAAAGTAAATACAGTGGGTACTGGATGGTAACATTTACTTTGATTTGCTTGTGTCTTCATAACGCAACTGTTTCTCTGCTCATACAAGGATTAAGGCTTTCCCAGATTTGTTATTTATAGACCATCTTGATGTTAATACTTTTGACAGAAATGTAATACAAAATGCTGTCACAGGCATTTGCATATTTTTGAGCTGACTGTGATATCCAAACATATAAAGTTTTCTCATGCTGCTTTTAAGAGTAAAACTCTTTATTAAGCAAATGAACTTAGATGGCTCTAGAACTTTGACTTAGTTTGGATTTGAACTATTGAATTTGCTTGGGCTGCCTTTATCATACTTCAACTTAGGCCATGTTTTCCCATGTTGCATTACATGTTCAAGTTCCAGTGTGCATAAGCTAATAAGAAGAAATATGATAGTTTAATAAAATGGCATAGTGGTTCATAAAAATGTCATTTCCCACAGTTTGATTTACAAAGATCATGTAAGTAGGTCTTGTACACCAATACTTGTATGCAACATGTTCATCTAAGAGTGAAAGTGATTTTTCAAAGTTTGCAATGAGACCTTGGTGTGGCAGCCCTAAAAAATGACGGCAAAAATAAGACACGATTGTTTGCAGTGAAAACGTACCGAGGAATGTCACTTTAAACAAAAAAGTAAATCAAATGGGTGGCAAAACTTGGCGTGGGCCAGGCAGAGCCTGTGCACAAGTGGCGTTAAATTATGTTCATAGACAAATCAGGGTTTTGACTCAAATTAACAGATGGTAGAAAACATTGTTGGCAACGAAGTGGTGAGGGCAATACCAGGCAACAAATCTTGGCCATGATTGGTATGGGGACAGTAGTGTCATGGTGTGGCGAGGTAGCATACATGATGCAAACTGAGTAGATAATTGTGGAAGCATCTTTGCCTCAAAAGTGATATGTTGACAATATTAGAGGGTCTGTTGCTTTCTCCCCATTGCTAGAATTATTGACAGATATTTTGAACTACGAACTATGTTTGTCGCTGATCTCTGAGAAGACACATGGACTTTTGACCAACAAGGTCCTTGTTGCTCTACAAGCCGGAAAAATATTTTACAGCCATTTTTCATTTGCCATTTTCTGTTCCCTTATGTTTAATCAGTAGTATGGTCAGATCAAGAACATCCAGATCTGAACATTCAACAATGGCGAAACAGTGGACTAAAATGTTACCCCCTTTCTTTCAAAATTGGCAAGAAAATAGTAAGGCACCCATCAGGCTGCCCAATTGTTAATGTGTCCTTCATGAAAGTGCATCTTCTTGTCGGCAGGTAAAATGAAATGCTTGTTAGACATGTGTTTCCATTAACTAACCAGCCAGGGCATGGGTTGTCAGCACCATTGGAATGTTGCAGAAATTATTGATAGGTGCTCTTTCAAATATCAAAACTAGCTCAAAAGCGTTGAACTATCATGACTATATAGTATATTATTTCTTTTCAGGCCATCTTTGATTCATTGCCATATTCAAAACATCCAAGCAGTGAAAAGGACAGATTGAATAAAGTAAGTATTAGTTCAAGTTCTCTCAAAAGATACCAGTAAATAGGGAATACATGATAACAATAAAACATCAGTCTTGAAGAAGAACATCTTAACTTACATATGTTTTGTTATGTGTTTCTGCTGAGCTCAAAACCCAAGTCATGCTTCTTCTACCTTTCAATTACCTATCAGATTGTATAATCTTGCATCTCTTTTTTTCAGATTGCTGAATTGCTTCGTTCTCGATTAATCGGGTATTTAAGAGTATTACGGACGATAAAGATAACAGTACAGCATTTATACAGCTTTCATCTGAAACAAGCTATTACCCAACGCCTGGATTGTTGCAATTTACCTTACAGGGACTTCAAGTAAGTTGAAGAAATTCATACATGTTTTCAATTTGACCACAACCTGTTGTGTTAAACGGCCCCATGTTAAGGGAGACAACCGCATGCGATGCAGGTCTTAGATCTTGGACAGTTTGGTGAAACCCACAATCACATTTATCGTCCTGATAACTAAGAAACATACTGGCTGAAACCGAGATTGAAAACAACTGTCACTGATTTTATGTTGGCAAACTGTATTTTATAATATAGTTAAGGAATTTTTAATTAATAGAATAACATATAGGTGAGTATGCCATAAGTGTACTTTTGTATAAATATATAATTGAAATGTTTCATAGAATGATGAAGAAAACTAGACACAGTCAGCACAATTCAGTTCATGTTAAACCAGGCATCACATTATTCTTTTAGAAACATGCCTTACACGGTGTTCTCCCTGCTATCATAGAATGTAAACTGAAAAGAGACCAATGGATTATCATGGATTCATAATCCCTGAGGCAGAAGTGCCTAGCCTTACAATTTCTCCGTAATAATTACGAAATTTACCATTAAATCACTACATTATGATAGTATACAGCGATCTTATGATTCCTTATCAAAATTCAAATTCAAATACATATTAGTACTCGTTATAAAAGTAATGGCACATGAAATATTACTTAGATGGTCCTTCTAGGTCCGTTGTTTTTTATCTGAAGCTATCTGGTTGTCAATATTACACAATTACTCGCCAAACAACGTCTATTTCGCCAAGATTAAACATTACATCAATTCACAATGTTTTTCGTGTTACTAGGCGGAATTATTCATTTCCTGTAGTGAATCGTGAGGTTATATTATTATCTATAACAAAAGATTTCATTGGTTGATATATTGAGCTATCCCTCTACGAAGTATTCGAAATGGTTGTAACTGCAGCTTTCATTAGCTAAAAAGTAGTCGACAAAGATAGGATAATTCCACTATGGAAATGAACTGCCTCGTCACCCCAATGCTTTTCTCTGATTGGTGGATATTTTAGTCATTCTAATTTCATTGACTACTGTACGTCGTTAGAATCTTCAAGATTAGCGACACGAAACATGACCGAAAAGTCATTGAAATATTGTTTAATTTTTAACATTTTTGAATTATATCATCCAAACTAAATTTATTCCCATTCCATGATTCGTGGAAACTGTTCACTGTGCCAATCACAGATACTAAATCATCACAGGGAGGTTCGGGAGGGATTTCATGATGCTGTTTCATAGAAATTAAAAGGTTTGTAGACTAATTTTTGCTATCTTTATGTTTAATATGTTTACAAAAATCCATTCATACAATTTGAAAAAACCCCCAACATTTTGTGCTATTACTGACAGGTCACATAAATTACTGAAAAACTAGTATTTTCCATCCCTTATTACTGACAAGGCCTTTCAAGGGTAGGCACCTCTGCTGAGGTAAAGTGATCAATCTCTCTTGTGTGAGACTGATAATCCCAAAATTATAATGGAAGGATATTTAATTTATAATGTGTCAAATGATGTCTTTTTGTTTTCACATTAAATTACCAATCTACCCAGGGGAATAATATTTGGTTTCTGTGGTGTATGGTTCTTGGCAGTGATCTTGTAATACTTGATATCTAAATTCAGATTCAAAATCTTCACGATCATACAGTCCTAAGTCAAAATGTTTACTTTAGCTTGTGTGGTAGCATTTGAAATCTTCCAAAGCCACTTTTTATAAGTTATATGTTGATGGACTTTCATTGAATATGTCACTAGAGTGGTCATTCAAAATGGGTTTATTTGGCTTCCTTGTGTACAGAACCGATCTTGAAGATCTAAATTTGTTAAATCAGAAATTCATATGCCACTTTGATGAAGGTAACTTAAGGCCATATATTTTCACAAATTTGAAAAAGGTGGTATTTAGCCTGGAAATACTTTTAGGTTCTTATGTTGCCGAGTGTTACCGGTATTGTGGTTTGAAATGTGAATGAATTATGGATCACATTACATTTGGAAATTAACTTAAACTTTGTTCAAGCTGTCATGTTTGTTTTTTCTTGGAATTCATTGATACCATGTAACCATGTAAATACTATAGAAAAATAGATTATGAAAGTTTACATAAGTAACATGTTAATCTTGATTCTTGTCATAGAAAAAGTGAATGTATAGGTCCCATCGTTTTTCAGGGTGTTACCGGTGAAATAAGGCATGCAATATATTGTAGTGTCTATCTATGAATGAGTATAGTTTATATTATGGCCAAGAACCCAGTGGCTACTGGGTACCTGTTATTCTTTTTCAGAAGAAGTCCTCCTTGGGGTACATATAAGCATTTAAATGTCCATTTTAAGTCCTGCGACAGTTGTAACTATGTTTTTTAATAAAATATTTACAAAACAAAAAACTCGTTTTTGTCTTGTGAGACCACCCCTACAGGGCCCCACCGGACCCCCCTACAGCCAGGCTACTCCCATGTGTTTCGGGATCGGGGTTCGCACTCGAACCGCCGACCCGAGCACTTACGTATATATATATACGTAAGTTAACAAGCACTCAGACAGACCTGAGTGTATGTATGTGTATGTATGGGTATTTATATAGCGCTATAGGCTATGTTTGACTATATGCTCAGTGCGCTTTTGGAGAGTACTTGGGGAAACCTGATTTATCAGGCTACTCCTACGTGTCTCGGGATCGGGGTTCGGTCTAGAACCGCTGAGCTTCGGCTCCGCGGATACTCTGAACCCCGTGGGTAGCACCGACCCAGGCTTCGGCACTGGTAGGGCGCAGATTCCCGGCACCGGTAGTTCAGGTCTCGGCCTGATGTCTATCGACGTCTTGACGAAGATGCTATCGAGTGTGCTGGGTGTGTCGGTCACCTCGATGCTCTGAGGTCTGTCTGAGTGCTTGTGAAACCTTGATTTGTCAGGCTTCTCACATGTGCCTCGGAACCGGGGTTCAGGCTCGTACAGTGGACAAGTCGATTTGAGCTTCGGCTCATTTCGCTACTTACCACTGAGTAGGTTCGTCCCTGAGGCAAGTGCGAGATAGAATCGCGGCTGTGTTGCCTCAGGTGTTGTCCACGTCGAATACCCAAACCGTTGGATTGCGCCTCCCGGAGGGAAGCCTGCTTCCAGCAAGGCATCCGGGACAAGGCCTCACACTCTACCGTCAGTCTGCCGTTCTTTGCCCTTCACAGCTCAACGTTGTATGCTCCACTCGGCGCATCTCTCAGCTCTGCTGGTGGAAAGGGGAGAGAGCGCCGGTGGTATTTTTTCGTCGGCGACTCTGGGCGGCATCTGACGGAGGTCAACTCTCATCTGGCTGGGGACTGCATTGTAGCTGTGCCAGCCAAATGATGAGTGCGGTTATGGGCCTATGACGCCCGGGACTGTTTCGAGGAATACGGAAGTCTGTCAAGCTTCTCGTTAATTCCTCAGGTGCCCAGGCACCGGCAAATTAAGTTGCTGACTGCTGGGGTTTACTGTATTCTGCCGCAAACCCCGGTCGGAGCGACACACTCCAGTGTCGGCTTCCCGGGAGACGCCGAAAATACTCCGTGCCGAGATCCAGTCTCTGCTGAGCATGGCAACCAGCGTGGTGGTTTCCAATGGTCAGGAAAATGTGGGGTTTGACTCCATTTATTTCATCGTTGCCATTTAAGAACGGAATGTTCAGACCCATTCTCATCTGAGAGCTGACCAAGTTAATAGAGGTATGGTCCTTCAAGATGGAGACACCGCTCTCGGTGATCTCATCTGTCGACAGGGGATTGGCGCAGGTCAATCGACCTCGAGGTCGTGTACCTCCTTGTTCCATTTCACCCTGATTTCAAGATTTACCTTCGGTTCTTGTTTGACGGGACGCGCTACCAGTTTCGTGTGCTCCCCTTAGGCTACATTACGGCGCCAAGGGTGTACACCAAATTGAGGTTTATTACAGCTCAGATAGCCATATCGCAGTGCCGGTGTTGTCACCCGTACCTAGGCGACTGGCTCATCGTGGTTTTAGAATAACTGGTGAGTCTGGGGACCTCACGATCAGTGTTGGTCAATCTTACGAAACTGGGCGGAATTGTCAACCTCACGCAGTCAGATGGACAGACATCAGGCGTCTCTCTGAGGTTGCAGACACAATTCTGGCTTCGAGGCGGGATTCGACACCCGTTCAGTGTGTTGATAGGTGGGGCGTGCTGGTGTGCACATAGGGGGATTTCATAATCCCTATTCTGCGGATTTAGTTCGGATATTGGAGTTACTATAACCTCGTTTTGTTGAGAGCCTTATGACCTCCACCATTCCCGGGTACTCCATGGCTATTTCCACGTTTCACACCTCGTTCGATGGTGCTCTGCCTAGGCAGCATCCTCTTGTACATCTCTTCGTAGCTGGCATGAAGAGGGTTCGACCGCCTCGGCGGCGACCCAGCCCACCTTAAAATTGCCATTTATTCTCAATTGGCTGTCTGGCCCTGATTTTTCAAGTATATCGTCTCTCTCACTTCACTTGTTGACGTGGAAGACGACTTTACTTGTTGTGGTGAGCTCTGGTAGAAGGGTCGGGTACATCCATGCGATTCCCACTGACCCAACACAGCCAGTATTTTATACTGATCATGTCCGTATTCGCCTCCCGGATACCTACCACTCTCAGTGCGATATTGCTTTCCACGTGACTGCTCATATCGCACTTCTACCCCTTACCCAGCCTTCCACACCGGGGACCAATCCTTCGATTGCTCACCCGTGACTGTAACGAACGAACGGACAAAAGGGATCCGTACGGGTACCCAAGTGTTCTGTTTGGTGGCTGGAAGACTGGGGAGTCTGCTAGCAAGCGAACTTTATCTCGTTGGCTTGTTTCCGTAATTGTTCGGTTACAATGATAAGGTTTACCTCCCCCGGAGGGGTTGAAGGCAGACTGGGTAGGGCAGATGCCGCTTTGTTGGCAATACACAGCGGCACTGCTCAATGAAGAGATCGGTTCTGTAGCTCTTTCCCTTATGTCCTCTTCA